CAATCATGACAGGAAGTCAGTTTTATTCAGACAAGAGACCGACGTGAATCCTTATATAGAAGCGCACTGGCAGATTCCTTCCAGATGGGGGGAAAAACACAATGGTTCTGTTAATATTGCTGAGCACTTTGGAAGATCCTTCTTGGAAACGGAAATATTGTGCGTTTTGAAAAGCCTGTGATGTATTCCTTGAATTGCTAGGATTACAATCATATTAAGTGTCTCTGCTTTGACTGGAACACTTTTTATTTACAGTGAAGTTTTTTTTGTGTGGCGAAGGGAAAGGGAGAGAGTTTAGATGGAATGCCAGTCAGATCTTGTGTTCCAGTTTTCTCTGCTGGGGATGATGACTCACAGTTCCACAAGACCCAAGTGACCGTCCTTCATGTGTCATCTGAGACACAGACTTTCAGGAGTCTGTCTGCATGACTGTGGGAGGCATCACAAGTCAGCTCAATCCTGTACATTGTCCAGCTTATACTTTGGACGCCCCTTCCGATGTGAAAGGCACAACCTAAATGTAATTTGTTGTTGTCATTCACTCGCGTACGCCTTGTAGCGGGGGTCACTGGTGAGCAGAAATCCGAGCTAATTTTACAGTGGATGATAAAACAAATTGTAGTGGAATCCACCCCCCCTCCCCATACACTCACACACATAACATGAGCTAACTCAGCACTGACCGTAAATGCAAGTGCAGTGCATTTATCTTTTGAGGCTATCATTCTGGTTTCCGTTTTTTTCATGTGGTTGATTTCCAATTTGGCGCAGAAAAGATAAAACAAAACTTTTTTAGGGAACGTTGGCAGACTCTGAGCCGCCGTTGCCTTTTATACATAATATCACATCACATTGCACCATGTCTCCTGTATTTACAATACCCACGGAAGGAAAGTCAAAAGCTACAGGGAACAACACACGCACTATATTTAATTTTAGAAAGATAACAAATATCTGATTGTGAGTTACACGCAAGTAATTCAATACAGAGGTTCTGCTGATGTTCAGAATCTCCCCAAGCTTTGTTCTCGTGGCGTATGACATCATCAGAACCTCTCAGTTGAATTACTGCCGTATGCCTCAATGTCAGCCATCTATTATCCTATATTTATTGGCTTACACAGGCCTGAAACCCTTATCCGTCAATGGAAGACATTTTTCATCGAAAAGCAATTCCTTTCAATGGGAGCATTTTTGTGAAGGGGCCAGAAGGTTAGAAATTGGTTTAATTTAGTATTCTGCATTAACCTTTTGAGTACTGACCTTCTTTATCCTTAAAATACATTGTGGCTTCTGCCTGTCACACAACATCTCTAAATCCACGTAGAATTGGAGGAATGGATTAAATGCTTTACACTCAAGGTTTCTTGGCAAAGGGATTAAAAAAAATGTTTCTATGCCAGTCACTTTATATAATTAATGTAACTACAATTTTCAACATGCCATTGGACAATTTTTTTTATATGAAATACTTTTTGAGTAAAGTCCGACTGAACTCACTCGCGAGAAAGCATTGTATGTCCTCGATTTCTCAGTACGGAGAAGGATTGACTGAAGGATTACCATTACAATTGAAACACTTCATTGGTTTAACAGAGGATGCAGTGGGTGGTACCGATAGCAGGTTAAAAAGTGTTAAGAACATAAGAATTTGCTAGGCGAAAGAAGACCAAGGTCCATCCAGTTCACCTTCTATCATCCTGGCAGTCGCTTGACATGTCATGACCAAAACTATATATTGTATCCCAAGATATTGTTTCCTAACAAAAATCTATCTAATTTGTTCTTGAAAGAGTCAACACTTTCAAAGTACTGCATGTCACCACAGCCCTAAATTCTGGTGATGGCTCTGCTCAGCGTTGTCAGATATGCAGATAACATTACCCTTGAGTTTAGGAAAACATGTTGAACAAGGCTTCACTGCGCAGGTATTAGGAAACTCTTAATTTATCACCTCACCCCGGCTTTGCCGTTGCCATTTGTTAAAGAAGGACGTGACGTAGCCCAACTCCTGGACCTGAAAATGTTCTGCCAAATAGCATAGTTTGAGAAGGAAGATAGATGGCCAATAAAGTGAAAAGTGCTGTGACCAAGCTGAGATTGATTAGCAGCAGAAGGAATGCATCTTGTACTAATAGACAAAGGAAATTAGGAAAGTTAGGAGATTCTGTGATAAATCACAGCGAGGACTGCTGCCATCCAAGTACTTCTGTCAGGTGCTATATTTCATGAACTTTATCATCAGACATTGACATCTTGCTTGCTCTAAAGGTAAACTGCGAATGCTTGTTACAGAAAGCAACGTCACAATAGTTACACTTTGTTTTTCTTGTTTTAGATTTGTTCATAGATACAGCACAGAAGGAGGCCATTCAGCCCATCGGCTCTTTTAAAAAAAAGCTATCCAAATCAATCCCACTCGCTCTTTTGAATCGGCTTCCACCACCCTTTCAGGCAATGCACTCCAGATCCGAACAACTTGGATTTGTTGTTCTTCTCTCCCGCACCCTTTCCCCCGCCTCATCACGACACCACCTCTTGTTACTGCGTGAGGGCTGGATGACTGGATGGGGTTCTCTTGCATGGTTGACAGTGGTGTATGTCTGGCAGAGTGAAAGTGACTCAAGCAAAGGCAATCCAGATGGTGACTATTGTCCCTCTCCCTAAGGTGAAGTGACTCGGTACTGTATGACACTGTGTTTTGTCAGCTTGTTCCTGACGAAACCCCTTTCTTACTGAGGCAGATGTATCTGAATCCCTGAGATCCCTGGGGCTCAGATCGTATGGTGTTCCAGCTATTTGAGCCATCATGCAACCCCAGCTGGACGCTCCTGTGGGATGGAATTTGCCAAACCATCTGTGTAACTTTCCATGCGATTCTGAATTAGCAACATCATTAGAAAACACTGTGCGTATGAACTATCAAACTACAGATCTGAATATTTATTTATCTGAATATTTTGTGCCTTGTGAAAAATGCACACAACATATTTATTTGCTTTTCAGTGGCTGGGGATGGTTTCTTAGCAGTTAATCATAACTCCATTTATCTGCAATTTGTAGACTTTGCTTACTTGCTTGATAGTGCAATTTACTATAAAATTAATGTAATGTCCAACATGATGTTACCAATAGTTAAAGTAAAATATAAAATATATATAGTTGCATTCACCCACAGAATAGTTATGCCACTTTACAGTGTATCCTGCAAAGCGCTTTGAGATGTCCTCCTGACATGAAAGGTGCTATATCAAATGTAAGGATTATTCCGTTGTATATCGTCCTGTATCCGGTCCATACTCTGAAAATGATAGCTTGAATCTGCTCTCCATTAATTGCCAACAGTGCAACTTCCTATTATAAATCGCAGTGAATGGTGCCTTCCACTCTCAAGGCATGCTGATTATTTTCATGATGTCCTTATTAACCATTACCAACAGAAATCACTGAGTATTGCCAGATATGTTATATTTTAATGCAACTGTACAATACAATGCAATTTATTTTTAAAGTGCTTTTCGTGCCAGGAGGACAAAGTGCTTATAAATGCTTGTAACCGAATTGTTATAATATACGGTACAAGTCCATGATAATTCCAGACAACTCTGTTGCTGTCTGGTTCTTTCTTGTAACACTGTAGACAGTTAAGCAGATTTGTGTTCGGTTGCATTTTTCTTTCACACGAACCAAACCAACAAGAGCTGTTACAGACCATGCTTACTTGTAACTGCACCAGTGAACATCTGTTTGATATTATGCTGGGAAAGCTCAATCTGACATTCCTGTGCAGGAAGCGTGTTATGAACCTTATATCCATCTACAGGAGTAAATAGATGAAGCCCCCTCCCCCCACCTTCAATTTTCTCTGATTCACTTCTGAAGGCACTGATTCAGACTTGTGTACGCTCTGGGCAACAGCCTCACTCAGGTGGTCATTCTTTAGATGGCAACCTAGCGAGTGAGTGACTGCCTGGTTCTGCTTTCATAACACACAAATGCACAGAGATACAAACTCGCCCATACATTCACACACACATACTCGCACGTGCATACACATGTGCACACCCACAGGCACAAATGTACCCTCGCACACACTCGATGCATATACATGCACGCACGCACACACTCATGCGCACGCACATACACATCACAACGCACACACACTTTACACAAGAGTTACCGGTTAGTTTCCCTACAAAATACACAGTCCCGATAGTAAATTCTGGGAAGCGCTTTGAGACATGAATGGTTCTATATCAAGTGCAAGGTGCTTTTTTTTAGTGGTTTGGACAGTAATTGATTTTTCTTACGTTTTCTGCTGAGACCTTCAGAACCCTTTCCACCCATTGAGATCAGCTAACGCAGCAAAGTCTAGGAAATGGAACTTGAAGCCTTTGTGGTCCGTGTGGCGCAATTCCACACTAGGCTGTGAATTTACCATCTGGGCCACTGAGAGAGATTCACTGAATTCATCTGTGTCAGAGCACAATTATTTCACACAGGTTTTAGTTTAGTATAGAAACCACATGGTCTGAGTGAAAATTTTGCTTTCGTTTCGTTAAGTTGGTCAGATTTCAGCCGTTTCAGACACACTAGAGACCTAGATGGACTGTCATGGAAGATCCAAAAGCTTATAACAGTTTGGCAGATTCAAAGTTAATAGGCATAAAAGCCAAGTTAATTTCCCTGTTATTTCATAAACCCATTGTGTATCAACGTATTAAATATTAAATATGTATTTATAATAATAATACTTACATTTGGTATAAAACGTTTCACAGCAGGAGGACGTCTCAAAGCGATTCACAGGATTTAACGTAAAGTGGAGTGACGGTGGTATTTGTGGGCAAACCCTGGTGTGTGGGAAACATTATTGGGAATAACGTATTCTATAAAACATAGATGTGTGAATGACCAATTCAGGTTTAATTTGAATGTTGTTTGTGTAGATATGAAAACTGTGGAAGAGATCTGAAATGCCTCTTTTGATTTATTTGCAGAATGTGCTGGCAAAAGCCCTGTACGACAATGTGGCTGAATCACCAGATGAACTCTCATTCCGCAAAGGGGATATCATGACTGTTTTGGAACGTAACACAGGAGGTTTGGATGGCTGGTGGCTCTGCTCACTGCATGGGCGGCAAGGTATTGTGCCTGGAAATCGCCTGAAGATCCTCGTGGGAATGTATGACAAAAAGCAGTCAGGCTCCAGCCAGGCACAGCAGCAGAATCCACAATCACCACAGCCTTACCAGCAACAGAATGTATACCAAATGCCATCCCAGTCCTCACAGTATACCGCTATGCACCCTGCCTATCCACAGCAAGGAGACAATGTCTATATGATGCCCTCATCGAATAAAGCATCACAGAATTTATATCAGGTGCCCCCAGCACTACAGCACCAGTCAAATAAGTATTCGATTCCTCCATCGAAACAGCAGCAACAGACCTTGTATCAGAAGTCAACATCTCAATGCCAGCTGCCTCAGTCCATGAATTCATCCCAGGATATTTACCAGGTGCCTCCATCGATGAATTCATCCCAGGAAATCTACCAAGTTCCATCAAAGAGCCCACCACAAGATATCTACCAGGTTCCTCCGTCCATGGGCACCGGACAGGACATCTACCAGGTTCCTCCGTCCATGAATCAGCCCCAGGACATCTACCAAGTACCTCCTTGTTTGGAGAAGAAGAATTGGGAAAGCACAAAGTCAACAGGAAAGGTAGGTACATTCTAATAGACTGATCTGTCCCATGGACACAATTACTTATTCACCCCATCAAAAAAGATGACACGGGGCTGATGAGTGAGAATAGCACGTACGGCTCACGTAAACACCAGAATTTCGACTAGAGTTTGCAAGAGCACCAGAGAAGAACGTGGGGCCTAAAATGTGCATAGCCCCAGACATGATGCCTTATCGTGGATATTTGGGATATTTTCTTCGATGTTCAGTGTTATGGAGAGCACTGCCTTTAGTAACACATTTAAGAGTCAAACGTTGAGAAAGAAATAGCATTAACATGACTTAACAAAAATTATTCTTGTTTAAATGATAAGCGCCGACAACATCACTGGGGAATGTGGTTGGGAGGAGTTCCTGAGCTGGCAGTGTGAGGGAGATGAATTAATAGGCGTAAATGAAAAGACAAGATTGATGAAACATCCCAGGGTTAATGGCTGTGTCACTGATATAAATTCAGGCCCCACTCACCATCCGGTTCCAGTTACTTCTCCCAGCTAGTGGCACTCAATGATGCCTGCCATGAGTGCCCAGCATTCAGAAACATAAATATAATTAAGGTTGATCTTAAATATTTTTAAGTTTAATTTTCAAAAGGGGCTTTGAAGTTGACTCTAACTTTGACACTGAATTTCTGCCCCATTGAAGTTTCCGTGCTGTGGTTATTGACCATCATGTCTTCACTACAGTGCTGGAACTGAAAGGAGAAGGCATTGTGGTAGCCAGATATGAGGGAAGGCCCACGACTTAAAAAAAAACTTTAAACCTTGTGCTCGAGCTAACTCAATAACCGCAGTTATTTCTGTGTTGCTACAAGTGCCAAAATAAAAAGGGGGAGGATGTCCAAGCACCAGTAACCTCAAGTTAGCTGAGCACGGGCATCTTTATTTGCCTTTGGAGGTGGCTGAAGACTCAACCGTGAGAATTGGTGGTACCCACCGTTGGATAGAAAGCCACCATTAAAAGCATTTACAATTAAAGTCCAACAACTCAAGCCAAGACTGGCAGGGTTAATGGAACATGAGAGAATGAAATCACCTTGTACATTGTCAACAAGGAATTAAACATTCGCTCCACAAATACACAATGGTGGAAATGCATTTCACATTCCTACCTCTTTGAATGTATCTCTGGGCACCTCCCCCTCTGTCCTCTCCCTTGCTCAGTGTCCAACCCTGTCCCTGTGAAGATATTTCCCTACCTGAAGGGCACTATATAAATGCAAGTCGTTGTTTTTCCAGTACAGAGTCGTGCTTTTCAGCCGGTATAACCAGTCAACTCTTGGCTATTTACTCACATTAAGAGCAAAAACCTGCAGCAAAATCCTGAGAGGTCCCCAAAAAATGACATTTCAATGTTTGGATGCAACTTGTTTCTTTTAGAGTTTAGTAATCCTAATTTTCATGCTGGTGGAAACGTGCATTCAGCCTAGCTGGTACCAGGAGGGTCACAGCTAGTCACCAGCTGGTGAGCTAGTGCTTGGGATAATGGGAAGCAATTGGTAATATGGTTCATTTAATGATGTGTTGCAAACAGATGGGGATATGCAGCGCTAGAACGATGGCACACCACGCATTCCCTTGTTAAGATCAGCAGAGGTCAGGCCACTTGTGCCTTTGTTCTCTCTGTTTTGTTGGTGTTGTAACAAAATTTGCTTCTTAAAATACCAATGACTGCGCGCTTTGTAAAAATTTGCTCGTACTGGGTATTCTCTCCTTCAGCTGCCTGCCAGGTTTATTATTGGACTGATTGGAATTGCTGAAATAATCCTCGTCCACCAGATCCGTGCAGTTTCCAAAGTGTCCAAGGCCACAGAGGAGAGCAAGTGCTGAATGCTTTAAAAGGCTTTGTTGCCTTGGGAGTTTACGTGGAAAGGACTAGTGGCATTTCGGTTTAAAGTAGAACGGTCTTGTGGAATACTTGGCCTGGTTTCCTCAGGGAAGTGTGGGAGCTGTGATTCTCATACTTTTCTCTCTCCCAGAGAACCAGAGGCCCCAATACCTCCTGACCTCTTCACACCCTAGGACCTCCCATCTCTCAGATTTTCTCCTGTGACCACTTATTTGTAGGGGCAGCCAATGTCTCACAAACAGCCAGATAGTGAGGGACCAATTTAACTGGAGGATTGTTGGCTAGGACACTGGAAATAACTCTTGTCAACTCGTACGTTTAATCCTTTAACGTCCTTCTGGACAGGGAGATGAGACCTCTGTTTAATGTCCTAATTGAAGGATGCACCTTCGACAGCGCACTTACTCAACTGTTACTGTTGTTCAGAAGCTGTGAACAGCAATTCTCAGTTGTGGCCATTGGAACTTCTCTTCTTTCTGGGGCCGATCTCCATGGGCTGAACGCTGCAAGGATTATTATTTTTATAAAGGGCCATGCGTTTTTTATGCTGTAATTTTTAATGCTTTGTTTTGTAAAATTTTCAATTATCTCGTCTCGTCTTTTGAAATGCGTGTTTGTGTTTGCATTGGATGCAGAGCAAAGCTTCCCTCAGCCCAAATACCACCAGCCCTCGGGGGGGGGGGGGGGGGGGGAGCAGATTAAATTCAAATGTGCATTCAGCCTTGCCCAGGTTGAATGAGGCCTTCATTTGCCCTTCAAGTGTTAACCCTCTTGATTGAGATTGCACTTCAGAGGTTGTGACGTTGATAGTGATCTTAAAGCTTTTAGGAAATAGGGTTGTATAAAGTTTAACATTTTCATATTGAAGTGGACATACGCCCTTGGGAAAGGCTTGGCAAGAGGCCTATTCAGCTGTTTATTAATGGTAATGTAGATTCTAGCTGTAAAGGCTTCTTGAAGTGAGTAATTTACTCCACACCTTTAATCAGTTTGAGTGTCGGTGAGGGCATATGGTGACATGGTGGTGTGATAAACAGCATGATTATACCTCGAGGACATATGTGATGCGGAGATTGTCCCAAAAAGTCTTATCGCTCAAGGCCGAGATGCAACAGTTTCACAGATCACACCGTGCTCCATTGGTTAAGAGCTGAAAGACTCGATTGTAACGCACCACTCAAATTTGCTTTGAAGTCTTCTTTCTCTTTTGCTGATTTTGTTGGGGTTAAGGTAAGGTGTCAGTGGGGGGGTAATTCCCAGGTGTTCAGAAAGAAAAAAGCCCTTCAGGGCAATCTCGACAGTGTATCATTCACATTGTTGTTTCAAGGTACAATGGTGTGTTCAGCACGCACAAGCTGGCACCACAACGGAGCGGACAGAGCTCACTTCGCCTTAAGCTCACTTTATTTTAAGCAGACGGGTGTCTGACACAATTGGAAACTCATCAGCAGCGAGGTTTAAGAGTATGCAAACCAGACTGAGACTTCCACAAATGTACACTACCTACACACGCCTGGAAATTTTCCTGTGTCTGCAATAGAAGGGGCACTTGCTCTGTGGAGGGACACACTGTGGAGGGAACTTGTGTCTAATGCAATCTAATTCCGGAGAGTATTAGACACAGGCTGAGAAGAGGCAAGACTTGGGGATCCCAGGATTCCCATTTGGGAACTGCTTCACTGGCTCCCCAGCCTCCAGCGGACCGAGTTTAAGATCCTCATCCTCACTTTTAAAGCCCTCCAGCTTGTTCCTTCCTACTTCTGCAACCTACAATCTGCCCGCTTCCCCCACTCAGTGGGCAATGGCCCGCTCCATGTCTTCTTCCCTGTGTGCCCCACCATCGGTCGTCAGGCCTTCAGCTTTTCTGCTCCCATCCTCTGGAACTCCTTCCCCGGAGTCCCTTCCTGTCGCCCCTCTCCCCTGCCTCCTTCAAGACCGGTTTCACGACTTTGACCTGGCCTTCAGTCATCCCCCGTCCTCTTTGTCCTCCAACCCTCTTGATTCCAAACCCCAAGCTCGGTGGCAAACCCTTGACTGTCCAACGCCTTGGATCATCCTCCCATTGTGAAAGGCGCTATATAAGTGCGATTTGTTGTTGTTGCTGGAGTTTAACAAGTTAAAACCGTACAGTTTGCTGTTGAGAGCCTTGTTTGGCAAACTTCCCATTGCTTGTCCAGCTAGGACTAGCCTATTCATTAGGGCTTTGGCATGCAGGATGAATGTGAGCTGAGTGGGAAGAATCTCTGGTCCCAGTGACTGGTCTGCTCCTCCCAAGTCCTGCTAATGAGCCAAGCTGGTCAGTCTGTTATCAGCAGTGCCTCTGGAATATTGCGGACCCGTCTGGCTCAGGAGCCAGACCACTGAGCACGCCTCAGAAGATTGACTCGATTCCACAATCCATTGCCAGTCATGTCACCTTGGAGTCATCTTAACTCCAATGAGACCCCTCTTCCCTACTAGCTCCCCTGAGAAGATAGTTGTGCTGATAACCAAAACGTTGGGCCAGTGTCAATGGTTGCCAGTGTCCTTTATTATTGCACTCAAGTGCACCCATTAAGATTTGAACCCAGAACTCTCACTGGTGCCAGTTAATGTGCTCGAGCTATTCTTGTTGCAGTGAGGAATAAAATAACATCGCAGTCACTTCTGTAAAGGTGCTGAGAGACTGGAACCCAAGTGTGTGATAAAAAAAATTCCTGACACCTCTTACAGCTCCTTAGACTTGTCGAATGTTAAATATGTGGGCAAGAGCTGAATGTGATTACAATCCTGACAATCCTGAAGACTGTGTAGGTGGAAGTGAATGAAAGTGTCATAAATCATCAATTTATTTAGATGAGTCATAGAGCCTGAGTCAATGAAGGAATTAGGGTTTTTTTCACATGGGAGAGGAAGAGGAGACACTCCTGTATAATAATAATAATAATCCTTGCATTTGATATAGCGCTTTTCACGTCAGGAGGACGTCCCAAAGCGCTTCACAGAACACACTATAAAGTAAATTGACTGTATATTTGTGGGTGAAAGCGGCAGCCAATTGTGCACAGTAATGTCCCACAAACAGTCATAGATTGAGAATGACCAATGTATTATTGTCTTTGTTTTTTTGGAGGGATTATTATTAGGCGTGTGGAGTAAGGAAACTTGCCCAAGGTTTCGCCCTGCCTGGAATTGAACTCATGTCTCTCACTTGCAAAGCGAGTGCTCTAACCACTGAGCTACAGGACTCCACCAAGGAGTATGAAGAAACTCAGAACATTAAGGTGGGAGTGAGAGGGAGACATAGATTATAAGTAAAGAATTGGATTTGGTATAGCGCCTTTCACATCGGATCAATGCCTCAAAGCACTTTACAGGATTTACTGCAGTGTGTATTACCTCTGTATTTTGTAGATGACCCCAGCAGCCAATTTTGTACACAGCAATGTTCCACAAATGGCCATGAAGTGAATGACAAATTTTATTTGGGATATTTTGGACCAGTACACCAGGGAAAAAACTCCCTTCTCTTTTTGAATAGTGGTTCAAGTCTCAACCAAAGGACGGCACCCCCAACCATGCAGCACAATCCCCCATCACAGCA